AGAGTGGCAGGGGGCGCAGGGCAGGACCCGGAGCAGCAGCGGGGGTGGGAAAGGGAGGGAACAGGACAGTGGGGTGGGGAGCAGGGCTGGACCCAGAGCGGCTGGGGGAGGGCGCGGGGAGGACAGACCTGAGTCTGTCCCAGCACCGCCCCCCCCCCAGCCCATCATTCATGACAGGCATTTTGCTAGTATGCGCGCACACACACACACACACATACACTTTAGACAGCTATATGCCGATACAGCTATACCAAGGACTATAAATAAAATTCTGTTATTTTTTTTTCCTAAGCAGCACGTATTATGTCCAAATAAAAGAGGTTTTTCTTTTATTTTTAATATATACTTTATATAACACTTGAGCTGTTTAGTTTTCCAGCATCTTAAATGTACACTCTTCTATGTATAATGCCAATAATATGTGAAACTACTGAAGACCCCCAAATCATGGACATACACACATACGTTAGACATGTCTGACAGGACCCCTCTGAGGCTTGTAAGAATTATCCCCATTTACAGATAGGAAACCTGAGACAAAGAAGCAACTGGCACAATTCCACAGTGCAGTGGTGACAAAGTTAACAAAGCAGCCAGATATCCCAACTCCCCATCTGCTGGTTCTGACCAACAGACCACACACAAATACACTCTTCATTAAGACAATTCTGCTCATCTAAGATAATTCTAAAGCAAGTCTGACAGCAACATGTACAAACTTATCACTAATGCATATCACTATAACTTACAGTCCCAGCAGTATTAAAGATTGTATAAATGCAGACATCTGTATATAGATGGTATCTCACTGACACTAGTAAGTTTTCAGACTTTTAAATATGGAACTCTCTCAAATGTCAAAAAATATAATTGCTGTGGTTTTGACTACTAAAACACAACAATTAAGCAATACTTTCCTTATCTGGCATTTTGCTGTCTGTTTTTACTGTGCTGCATTATACAACTAAGCAGTATCATTTTACTAGGTGGAAACCCATATTCAGTCTGCAGTAATAGTTTATTGTAGGCAGGCACTGCTTGTTTAATGCATCAGCTAGCTGACCTCATTTTTAAAGATTACTCATCACAGCTTAAAGACATTAAACCATTTCAACACGTAGCTGTTAATCTTTTGGCACCAGAAGTCTGATTTCCCCAGAGCAAAGGCAGGCGCCAAGGAGTTAAACAGATTTTAATGAATGGTTTTCACTAGTCTGTGCATAAACTATTATTATACAATCTCAACACATGCCCTTCCTGCAAGGACTGTTTGAGGGTAGCCCATGTTCAGATAGTTGTGGAGGCTCTTCCACAACCCACACACATCGTATTAGCACTCTGACACCAGCCATTCTTTCGGAAGAAACCAAAGTAATTGGTTCGATGCAATAAGCCACATGTGATTAGAATCTCAACCATATCTATACAATAAAGCCAGGAAATTCAGACTCAAGGTTCCCATGCTAACCATGACTCTGCCTCCTTGTGTGTGCATTGAAAGCATCTTGTTATGTGACAGCATAACGCAAGGCCTTGTTTGGTAAATAAAGCATTGTAAGGAGGATTGCTCCCTGTAGAACTGTGAATGCAGTGCATACATATCCAAACGCACTCAAAAGGCCCTTTTGTGATACAGACTTGGGAGCAATGGGGAGAGAGTTGCTAAAGGAAGCTCAGCTCTTTATTTTCTTACTTTTCCACAGGCTCTCTGAAGTGTTTGGACAGATCTTGCATTACAGCTGTAGTAGGCTGTAAAATCCACCCCCCCAGACAAAGCAGGATTGCTCCCTAGGGCACTTTTTCCAACTGAGTGCTTTGTTCAGTGCAGATTTAAACATCCCAAGCAATGGGAGACTATTCTACTTTTTAACGGATCAAACTTTTCTAGTATTCAACCTAAATTTACTTTCCTACACTTTTGTCAAAAGAAAAGTTTTTCTTCATTCTCTGTGACTGAAAGGACACACAGATTCCTCCTGAGCTTAAGGGTATTTTAGTCAAAATTTATGCCTCATCTGAACCCTGCAAGAAAAATCTCAAAATCTGGGTACACTAAAAACTAGAAGAGAGGCTTAAGCACAGAACTTCCAGAAGTGGAGATCAGAATAAAGAACAAACAGCCACATTCCATCTCCTTCTCTTTGGCAACAAGAGAGACTTTAGACAAAATTACTGCACCAAATCATATTCCACTCCATCTGCATTTACCAAAAATACCCAGTTCATACTCTCAGCTATGCTGGATGGGCTATATATTTATACAGTTTCTGTATATCAGTAAGAAAAAAAACATTTGCACAACAACTGGCTTGTGCACTTCACCCAAAGTTTTCCTTCTCAAGACATTTCCCAGCTTTCAAATATGGATTACTATAGATTTCCCTGAACCCACCTCAAGTGAGCAGCATGACTGCCAAAACACAAATGGGCAACTCCACAAGAGAATGGAGAGAAAGAACATGGTACATATTCATCATGGAAAAGTTATATCTGCTTTGCTAAAAGACAAGTATCAAATTTTTTATGCCATCTGGTTGCCATGCTACAACTAACTCAAGAGAACTATAAAAGAAAAACACCACAAGTCCACTACACTGGAAAATGAATCTATTTAAAAAAAATGGAAAGACAGCACGAGATATAGTCCTGTCCTCCTTCTCAGCAAGACCAAATAGGCAGCACCTTTGAAACATTTGCATAGCTAATCACATTTTGTACCCCAAGAATGTATTTTAATTATATAATTCTTACATACATGTCGACATGGTCATGTGGTTGTGTTAATGAAAAGCAGGGAAGGGAAAAGCAGCACAGGAAGTTTTACCAACTTCATTTATTAATGCGTCAACTGTATTCACAGTGCTGCTTTGTTCCTCCCCTTGATCTTTTTCTAAAAGCTCTTCTCATTGTATTCCTCAGCTTTGTTTTATTATGAAATTATATTCCTTTTTCATACACTATTCTAAATCCCTTTTAAAGCTCAGAACAGCTCTGAACTATATCATTTATAAAACTGAGAGGAGAAATTCTAACTACAGGCAGGAAAGGAGTCCAGTGGCTGCATTCTTGAAGCATAAAGATAACCATGAAGCAGAATTTCTTTCCTTAGACACTTCCCATTCACATTCTGGCAGAAATTGCCTCTATTTATATTTTGAACTTGATGGAGATTATAGCACATCATCATCGTGAGCACAGAGGATTAAGCGTTTGCTAATGTGTGCCCCAGGGCATGCAATGGCAAGCACCAGGAATCAAACCAACATTTATTTATTTATTATATTTATCTCCTGCCCTATCCAAAAGGCTCAGAGCAGCTTAAAATAAACAATCCAGGGACAAACAGAATTCCCCAAACACCCCCACAAAACCGGTGAGGTCCAATTCTCCTCCCTCCCTGCCTAAATCCCCACAAGCAAACCCTCTTGCCAAGCCTAGTCATGCCTCCCAACTGCCACTCGCATCCAGTTACAAGAAACCTTCTCCCACCCACCCCACCACTCCCTGCCCACCCATTTCTATTACTCTGCTTCAATCCCAGGGGACATCTCCCCACTGAACATCACCCCCTCTCCTACAGACATCTCCTACATTACACACCAAAACACTGCTACTGATCACCAGGCATCCTGCATGGCACTAGAAATTAGAGATGCAATGGATCTGACTATCCAGGTCAGATAACAGAGGAAAACATTTTGCTTTTATCTTTGTGATACCAGAAAGAATCTACTGTCAGTATGAAAGCCAACCTTTAACATAGCACCATTCATCATCAAACCTCCAGGTGCTGTACAAAGGAGGTCAGTATACTTATGTCAATTTTACAGATAGGGAAACTAAGGCAGAGAAAGAGGAAGTGATCTGTACCGGAGGTCACCCAGTGGCAGGGCCAAAAATCAAAGCCAGGTCTCCCGACTCCTAGAGCTATATCCACTAGGCCACACATGAGTCTCATAAATATTAAAGAAAAGAGGAAAAAAGATTGGACTAATCTTTAAATATTACAGTACAAAACTGTGTGATTTCGGCAACCAAATGCCTCAACAAAATCCCCTCAAACTATTGAGCATGCAGTTTCCCATATAGCTGTAACATCATCTTTCCTACTGGTGGTAGTATAACAGACAGGACTTGCTCTAAGTACGGCTGTGGCCTAGGCAAAGGGCTCTTTTGATCTTGGCATCTCTCATGTACTCAAATAAAGAAGATCTGGTCAGAAGGCCAATAACCTAGTGGATGCAGTGGCAGGGCTGGTGGATGGATACTATTTCACACAGCAGCCCTGATGCTGCTGTTACTAAGTTCTCTTCTTTTGGCCAGACAACTTTTACATAGCACAGAGCAGAGAGCGACAGCACCATCTTCTGGTCACATGGTTGCTTTCTAAGTGGAATTCTTCCTGAATAGGTGCATGTTCACTCCATGCACACCAACCAATCTGTGGTACCTTATACAGTGCTGAAAGCTACCCTGAGACCACAGGATGCTTAGTAAGATCCTGAAGACATCCACTAAGTTTAAAAACTGAATCAAGATTAAACTTGAAGATAAAGCAACAGAAATTTGAGTAAGCTGTAAAATGCTAGGCTGTGGAGAAATGAATGGACAGTGCTCTGCCTTTAAAGATTTTGCATTTTTTCCTTTAAATTAAAAAAAATATAGTCAGTGAAAGCGTAAAAAGGTGCCAGATGCCTCCCTGAGCTTGTGAAAAACTGCCCCATTGTTTTCAGTAGAAATTCCAGACAGTCAACTACTTCCTGGAAGCTTTGAGCACCCTGGAGACAGACACCAAGAGAAAGACTCAAAATTCACTCAGCACTGGTTTAACTTGTATATTGTATCAATGAATTAAAGTTAGAATTTTACTACAGACTTGAATGGGAATCAAAGCTGAGTGTTTTTGAAATTCCTGCCCCACATGCTTTCAGTTTCTCCTCATGATCAAAGTATCTCCAATATGCCTGAAAACAACCCTGCATGCAGAGATATAGACCTACCGTATAAGCCAGGTGTTCTCTCCTCGTACGTAAAATGAAGTTGCAGTTCCTCTTCTGTCATCTGACTGATGAACACTTTTAGCAAACAGCAAATAATAAACAATGCATTGTGGGCCTGCCAAATAAAGAGGTGGCTACAAAGGAAACAGAAACAAGAGTCAATGATATTCAACACATTAATATTCAGCCATGATCATCCCCAGGGGTGTGCTACAGAAGACAGGTCCCAGTGACCTGGGCAGGGCAAAGGCAAGGCTCCCCTGAGTGATTCAAAGGGTGGACTCTCCAGGCATTTCTACATGGCAAACTTGCTGCACCAAACACCAACAACCTCAAATGCACTGCACTGTTCTGCGTGGGCTGCATCCCAAGCCACCTGCAGGTTAGTCATGCCCATGCAGTGATGCAGACTGGCTAATTAGCCCACCCAAAGAGCTTCACAAGCCATGGTATTGCTTCCAGTATAGGATGCAGCCTACACATGGACCTTCTCTAGCACTCCTCCCTGAGTTGTGTGCCTTTTCCTCCATGCACTTTTCCCAGGTGACATCATTCTACATGGAAGAGGCTCTGCGGACCTCAAGGGCACAGCAGCCAAGACCAGCTATTCTCTGCAGTACTGTCTGCAGAGTCCCTACAAGCAGCTGCAGGGGGACTCAGCCAACATATTCAGTGCCTGCTAAAGCTTATTCTGTCAAAGCGGTTGCAGGGACAATAAAGCACAAGCTATCCCTTCAAAGATAAGTCTTTCTGGACAAGGAAGGAGCCCTGGATCTAAAAGGATTAGGAAAGGTTGAGGCATCTACAAGGTTTCAACTTCCTTCTCTCCAAACACCTTCCTGCAGACACAGACACTTCCAGAAAACTATAATCACTGGAAAACAAGCCTGATGAAGGGTATTTATACCTGAAAGCTTGCAAAAAAGAATTTTTCCAACTATTTGAGTTGGTCTAATAAAATATATCAGATTTACCCAAAGAACCTTGTCTGCCCATGACCTTAGACCAACATGGCTATACAACCTACACCCCTGTAATCACTGGAAAAACACTGAAATATCTTCCTTGCTGGGAGGAAGGGTGTAGATCTCACTATACAAATTGAAAACCACAGAATTTTAGATTGTTTTCTGGTCTAGACTGGTCAGCTCCAGATACTCTAGGGATAATGTGCCAGCTTTATAATAAATAGATTTAACTAAAAAGATGTCAGCTGGCTTTTCATGTCTAAAAATAAGCTCTTAAGATGAAAAACAAATGTGCAGTAGCACAGCACTAGAGCCACTGCACCTACATTTTAGAACACTTACAGAAATCCTTAGCTCATCAGTCATGCTCTTAAATTTTTATTTATGCTCCAAGGAGTTTTGAGTCACAAACTGTAAATCCAGTAGAGGACAATTTGTATAGCATTTTTACTGTCCGTCATGCCCACCCACACGAAACAACGGGGACAGCAAAGCCCCAGACCTGAACTGTGGGTAGGGAAGTTTAATCCAAATGTATTTAAAAACGTATGTTTATCACACCATTTAGAACCAGTCACACACAGAAAAATACAATACATAAAACCGAGAATGGACATTTTCTTATGTTTCATTCCCAGTATTTCAAATGTATGAGATACATGTTTCTTTTTAAAGGGAACGTTATGTCAAGCAAAAACAAAAATTTACAGAACCTAAATTTTCACTTTTCTAATTAAAGGCGTGTAAAGAGCAGCCCTCCTGGCAGTACTCAAGGGCTATGAACAAAATATACATTTAAAATGTGGAACCTAATACGCCACATTGCTCTGGTAACTTACTTCTGACATTCTGCTGAAATTTTTAACTCCTTGGTTCTAGAAAGGAAGACTTTAATCAACGCTCCAAGATTTCCTGACCGAGGATTGTTCTCAACTACAGGAGAGAGATAAAATACATGGCATTTGTAATTTAATATTATGATAATTATTTTGAACAAAAGATAGACTGAAAATAGTTTTTAAGGTTTGCACAATTCTAGGACACACAAGTACATCCCCACCTATTTTTCAGAACATATAGCTAAGAAAGGAAAAAACCTTTACGATTCTTCTGTCCCCATTTTTACCACTGCAGAAAATGAAACAATAAATCCATACTACTTTGTGTGAGATTATTCCCAAACCCAAAAGATCTCACTGTCAGTGAAACATGCTTAATCTTCAGAGTAAAATTCTTTTAGAAATATCCTTCTATTACTCAATATTTTACTAGCCCTTGCCTCCACAAGTTCCTCAGATAATTCCTATTTATTAGCATTTTTACCCAGTTAATAATTCAGATGTTTTAATAGTGTAGCAAGACTAAACACTGCAAGTTAAAAATTGGAAATGAGAAGCAACCTACAGAATTATTTTCTTATTCAACATGGACTCTACATCACACATGTGACACCCTGTACTCCTCCTCTATCATCATTCCCCCTGAATGTACAATGGCTTAAAAATCACTATGTGAAAGAAGTCTGCTCAGTAACGGGTGCCCAAGCCACATCCTTTCTTTGGAAGCACACAGAATAAAGCAGTAGTGACGATTTCATGTTCAAAGGGCACATACAAGCAGAATGTTTCCACCTATCATTTGGGGGACAAAGATAATTTTTAGAAAATCTTACTGGTAGAAAACAGATGGATGAAATTAAATACACCACAGACACAGAAGTTTATACGAACACTGCAGTTTAGCAGAGAAACTGACAACATACAAAATGAAAAAATAAATAGAGACATCAAAATAATTGCTTACCTAAAGATTTGCAGACTGATATGGTGGCTTCTTCCAAGAGCTTTAACTCGGCACTGGAAAAAGAAAAAAAGAAAGATTTAGTTATAGAAGCAATGATAATGAGGGCTGTGTGAAATTTCGCCAAGCGTTTAGTTTTGAAGCTGTTTCTGTGTGTTTGGAGCTGGAAACTCAAAATGTTTCGAGCTTCAAAGCAGCCCAGTAGTGGGAGACAGGGGAGAGCCAGGGCTGTGCTCTGAGCAGCTTGCAGCCCCACGTAGCTCAGCTGAGGAGCAGAGCCCTGGCTCTCCCCGCCTCTCACCATAGGGCTGCGCTCCGAGGGGCTGGCGGAGTCCATCAGAATGCAGCACCAGGTCTGCCCATCTCTAGGCTGCCGCTGCTGCCTGGGGCCAGTGGCCAGCTCTGCCAGCCCCAAGGAGCTCAGCCCAGTGGCAGGAGGCGAAGCACAGTGCAGGCTCTGCCCACCTCCTGCCACTGGGCTGAGTTCCATGGGGCTGCAAGCTCGCATGGGGCTGCTCAGCTCCCAGTGGCTCCCAGCTTCCTGGAACTCAGCCAGGTGGTGAGAGGTGGAGTGCAACACCGGGCCTGTGCTCCCCCTCCTGCCACCAGGCTCAGCTCCCAGCAGCTCACACCCCACTGGAACTCGGCCGTGTGGCAGAAGGCGGAGGTCTCAGCTCCGAGTGGCTTGCAGCCCCAGGGAGCTCAGCCCGGTGGCAGAAGGCAGCGCACAGAGCCTGCACTACACACTGCCTCCTGCCAGCAGGCTCAGCTGCGAGCAACTCCAAGCGGTGTCTTGAGCTCCATGGGGCTACTGAGCCATTCGGAGCGCAGCCCCGTGGTGGGAGGAGGGCAGAGCTGGGACTGCACTCTGCCTCCTGCTGCCAGGCTGAGCTCCATGGAGCTGCACCAGGTGTGGACTGCACCCAGCACTGATCCAAGGCGGCAGCGGCAGCCTCCTGTCATCCGGCATGCAGATCTGGGGGCTCGCAACCCCAGGAGTGCTGCCGGGCTATGCCAGACTCCTCCTGGGGATGCAGACCCCTTGATGTGCGCCCAATTGACAGGAGCCTGCCACTGCTGCCTGGGGCCAGTGGCAGCATCTGTCTTCTCTGGTGCTGAGTGTGGGCTGCGCCCAGTGCTGGTCCCAGGCAGCAGCACCCCGGGAGGAGTCTGGCATAGCCCCGCAGCGCTCCCAGGGGTGCAAGCCCCTGGATCTGCATGCCGGATGACAGGAGGCTGCCACTGCCAGCAAGTTTTGCTTTCAAGACTTTGAGGTGCAGTTTCTGAGAACCCTCTGCACCTATCTCCTTGAACCTTTGCAGGCTTCGTGCCCTCAGATGGGGCTACCAACCCTGCAATTTGCATCAAAATCAGGCAAAAAATGACAATGTTTTAGGCATTTTCATGATTCCCCATTATAGCCTATGGGTGAAACATCGAAATGAGTCGAAACAGCAAAACAGTTTTGACGAAACAGGACAGCGCTTCAAAATGAAATGAAACAAAAACTGTCCCTTCAGAATGGCAAAATGGACGTCAATATGAAACAATGGTGTTTCGCACAGCCTTAATGACAATTTCTGAGCCTATAAAGGCCTGCCACTTACAAGATAAAACTACTGCATTTAAAACAAAAATCTCTAACGCTCCTGGAAGAAAGCCAATGATCCAAATTACAGAATGTCATTTACCTGGTTTACACAGGTTATGAACTACTACATAGACACACCATTCAAAATTTAGGCTGCTTACAGACATGGAAAAAACAAAACAAAACAGCGTTTTACTTTCAGCTTGGCACACCTTCACACCAAACACAGCACATGCCTGGGAGAGGGATCCAGTTAGTCTGACCCGGCTCTGCAGCATCTGTATAGATTTGCCACTTCAGCAGGGCTTTCTGGTGCTCTTATCTAATAGCTGATTGAATCAGCTATTAGATAAAAGTGCCAAAAAGTCCTGCTAAAGCACCCAAACTATACACACACTGCAGAGCTGGGTCATACTAATAGACGCCTCTCCTGGTAAAGCACTGGGGATTTTTTTTTCACGTCTCTCAGCACCCAGTGTGACTATACACTGGGCAATTAACTTGTTTCATTTTGTCAAACAATTCGTATTTGAAGTGGGCTGACAATGCTACATGTCAATGACTTCACTGTGCCCATGTTTGTTCTGGAATAAACACCATGGAAAAAAACCATGCAGGACTCCAGTTTGAATTTGCAGAAGAATGTTCGCTCTGTCCTGGGACCCCTCTGTATTGCATAACTGTAAGAGGAGAGATATAATCCCTTTTCTAAAGCTGAAAATAAGCAGCCTTAATAGAAAGATATTTAACCTCAAACAGACAAAACATCCAAATTCCATTACCCTACTATAATAACTGTTTTCATGTTACAGAAATAGCTGTAAGTCTGGTACACAACCAAAGGATTTTTAAAAATACATTAATTGCCAGATAACACATTTATATGAAAACCTCTAACCTAAAAATCAAACTACTTTAAAATAGTGTCAACAGTGTTCTACCTATAATACACATTTCCCTACTTAGCACTTCTAGCACCATAAACTGCTTTCCATGGACTGTACAAATTAAGTAATCCTCAAAGCCTGTGTGAGGTAGGTCAGGAATTAGTTTGGTTTTGTGGCAGTGAAAACAGAAATGGTTATTAGGTTTCCCTTCCGAGGCCACATTAAGCACCATAAAGGTATAGAATTTAAACAGTAATTATCCAAGGGTCTAGTCTTCTGTCAACACACAGCAAGACAGGAAGGGAATTTTCAGAACTGGAATGTTAATTTCCCTCTTTTGGTTTAATGTTGTTATTAACCTAACAAATTCTACTCGTGTAGTATGGTATAGGATACACTATAAAGCCAACAGATTTTCTATCTGCCCTTTAATGCCTCCAAACCTACCTTGCTGATTTTAAGAAACATGGTATGAAACAACATACTAAAAAGTCAACCTTCTTTGGGTAAATCTTTTATTAGACCAACTAATAATTTCATAGATTCCATAGACGTTAGGGTTGGAAGGGACCTCGTGAGATCATCAGGTCCAGCCTCCCGCCCACGGGGCAGGAAGTCAGCTGGGGTCAGATCACCCCGGCAAGATAAGCATCCAAGCATTTCTTAAAAGGTATCCAGAGTAGGTGCTTGCACCACTTCTAGGGGGAGTCTATTCCAGACTCTGGAGACTTGGATGGTAAAGAAGTTTTTCCTTATGTCCAGTCTAAAACGGTCTTCCAGCAGTTTGTGTCTGTTAGACCTTGTCTTCCCTTGGGGTGCCCTGGTGAACAGACGTTCTCCCAGTTCCTGATGCACACCCCTTATGTACTTATAGGCTGCCACCAAGTCAGCCCTGAGCCTTCACTTCTGCAGGCTGAAGACTCCCACACCTCTCAGGCTCTCCTTATAAGGCCTGTTCTCTTGGCCCCCTAATCATGCACGTGGCTCTCTTCTGGACTCTCTCAAGCTTCTTCATGTCCTTTCTAAAGTGTGGAGTCCAGAACTGGATGCAGTACTCCAGCTGCAGCCTCACCAAGACCGAGTAAAGCAGGAGGGTGACTTCTTGGGTCTTGCTTGAGATGCACTGGCAGATGCAAGACAATTTTATTTGCTTTGCCAGCTGCAGCATTGCACTGGTGGCTCATGTTCATCTTGTGGTCCACTGTAACCCCCCCAAGTCTCTTTTGGTCATGGTGCTAGTGAGCGTAGCACTGCCAAGCTTATAACTATGATGTGGATTTTTTTCCTGAGGTGGAGCACCTTGCATTTCTCTGTGTTTTGTTTTGCATGTCACTGGGTTTTGATCCGCCCATCTTGCGAGCCTGTCCAGGTTGGCCTGAATTGCCAGCCTATCCTCTATTATGACAGCACTTCCCCATATTTTGGTGTTGTCTGCAAACTTAACCAGTCCACTTATGACCCCCAAATCCAGATCATTTATGAATATATTAAAGATTACTGGTCCAAGTTACGAGCGCTCGGGGGTGCCACTGGTCACCGTGTGCCGTGCTGACTCAGTTCTGCCGACTATCACGCTCTGGGTCCAACCACAGAGCCAGTTCCCCAGCCACTGGACCACAAAGTTGTTGAGGTCACAGTTCCCAAATTTTACCATAAGGACATCATGGGAAACAAAGTCAAACTTTTTTTTAAATCTAAATATATGACATCAACCTCTTGTCCTTTGTCCAGGTGATACGTCACCTAGTCATAGAAGGAAATGCAGTTGGTCAAGTAAGACCTACCCAAAATGATGCCATGTTGGCTCTCTCTCAGAATGTTGCCTTCCATTAGCCTGTCCTTGATGGTTTCTTTGATGATTCTTTCTAAGATCTTTCCAGCGATTTAGGTCAAACTGACTGGCTTGCATTTCCCTGGATCTTCTTTCCTTCCTTTCTTGAAGACAGGCATCACATTGGCCCTCTTACAATCTCCTGAGTGCCATGAGGTCTCAAATATCCTTGCCATTGGTCACGCTATGATGTCAGCCAACTCTTTTAGCACTCTTGGTGCATTCCAACCGGGCCAGCTGACTTGTGGATGTCCAGCCTCTCAAGCTGTTCCCTCACAAGATCTCTGCCAATTATAGGCACATGATCTCCCTTACCCTGGTAGTGCTGAGTCCTGTCAGGCAGGGTGATCACTTTTGGCTAGTGAAAAACCAATGCAAAGTAATCATTGAGGCGATCTGGTCTAATATTAATATTAGAACAAATAATAATAAAAGATATAGGCTTTACCCGAAGAACTTTGTCTACCTATGCCCTTAGACCAACACAGCCTGTACCCCCTCATACTAAGACGTGGAGTTCATGCACTTCCATTTCCCCAACTTACTGGTCACATCTACACTGGACATTTACTGCAGTTGTCTAATTAGCTCTGTAGTAAGTGTCATGGCACCTACATGTGCTATTAGGCAGGAGTAAACTAACTGAATCCGCAACGGGGTATAACTTGTAAATAAAAGTACTTCCTACTGCGGATTTTTTTTTTTTTTTTTTTTTTACTCCACAGCTATGCACATATAGACACTGGA